GGGATGCCAGGGCCAAGTTGGCCCCCAAGTTAGGTCTTGCAAGTCGTTCCGTGGAAGGGTGTTTGCTTTGTGTCATATCCCTTTTTTAATTTTCAGAGTAATGGAGGTGTTCTTCTTTCATCTTTTTTTAAGTTTGAAAAATTTCAAGGGACGCCTGGGGGGCTCAGTGGGTTAAGCATCTGCCTTCCGCTCAGGTCATGATCCTGGGGTCCTGGGATCGAGTCCCACATGGGGCTCCTTGCTCGGCGGGAGCCTGCTTCTCCCTCTGCCTGCCACTACCCCTGCTTGTGCTCTCTCTCTCTTTCAGACAAATAAAGAAAATCTTTAAAATAAAAAAAAATAAAGTCTTTTTAAAGAATTTCAGTTTTACAGGAAAGTTGCAAGAACTGCACACAGCGAGTGCCCACACCCCTCAGGCTCAGCGGCTGTTCCCATTTGATGGTTCAGGCGTGTCACTCCTTCTCCCCCACTCCCCCCCTGCAGTGGAATCTTTCTAGAAGTTGCAGGGAGGATGATACCAGCCCTCAACACGGTGACGTGTACCTTCCAGAAACAAGGATAGACGTGTTCTTGCTTGACCACATCGAGTGACTGCACTCAGGAATTTTAACCCCGATACAAGATTATTATCTAATATGCACTCCAGAGTCAAATGTTCCCAGGTACTCTCAAAATTGTCTTTTATTCGCCTTTTGAATTTCCCCCACTCCGGATCAAGCACTGCATTTAGTTATCACGTTCCTTTCGAGCCAGGACAGTCCTGTCCCCTGTTATTATGTCATTCATGGCACTGCCACCTGTGAACAGCACCAAATCGGCTTTATCTCCTGGGAAGGCTATGCTTGGGGGTGGGCGTGGGGGCTCAGATAGTTTTCATCAGGGACACGCCTGTCGTCCTGGAACAAGATCATTGCTAGGAGCCGGGTTGCGATGGATTTTTACATAGTAGGACTGATTCTGTTCATCCCAAAGGTTCGTCACATCCCCTGTAGATTCTGGAAGACTGGGACTGCTCTTATCCCTGGTTCCTTTCCCTGAAACCCAAGGCATCTCCAGAGCCCGAGCCCAGAGGGAGATGTTGAAAGGCCTCTGGGATAAATGTCTTGAAAGCAGTGAGAGAAGACACACTCTCCTTTGGCTTGTGGCCTCTTTGAATTCTCTGTTGTGCCTCAAAAGCAGAAGGGGCTTGCAGGTGTGTTTGAAACTCCCCCTCTCGTTCAAGCCAATGCCGTACACACACACATCAATGCAAACGCTTTTCTGATGGATCCCTCGAAACCCAAGCCACACCTTGGGCAGAAGGACGGTGGCCATGGGAAGACGCAGAGGGACAAGAAATTCCCTGCATGGGGGTGGGGTGGGAGCGCCTAGACTTCTAGCCACCTAAGAGGCACAGATTTTATTTGCTCAGATTTCATTTATTTTCTTTGCTCAGAACCTCCGCGAATCTCGCCAGAGAGGATTTCTTGCTGCAGAGAAGTTTCAAAGACATTTCTGTTTTCCAGCCGACCCTGTTCTTGACATATTGCATCGCTCTGGAAAGCGTTTTGCGTTTCCTTCACCGACGCGCTGCACGCAGTCCTGGCTCGGAGCTTTCCCAGGGCCTTCCCCGCGCCGTGCAATGCCAGAGCGCGTCCGTGCGGTGTCAGCACCTGCCTTGCCACCAGCGCGGCCCCGTTCCTTTTTTTCTGCCTTTTGGAGCAGTTCCCCGGTTGGCCTTCAGATGGCGCCAAAACCACAGGCCCGTGCGAGCCGCGTCCAGGTGCGGGAGCCGGCGGCGCGGGGGCGGGAGGCCTCCCGGTGCGCGTGCTGGGTGGGGGGCAGGGGGAAGGGGGCGACCGCGGGGGCTTGAATTTCTCCCGCCTTCATCACCGCTCCTGATTCCGGAGACACGCAGCACCCTCCGGGGCCCGATTCCGCTCTCGGCTCCGCGACCGCAGGCTCCGGAGGGGACGCAACCGTCCATGAACCAGAAGCCCCCCCGGAGACCCGCCGCAGATTCCCGGAAAGGTGGGCAGCGCAGGTGTCCGCCAAGCGCAGGTGTGCGGAAGGTGCTGCTGTACCGACCCGTGCAGACGTCTCTCCGGGGTCCTTCGGAGCCGAGACCAAACCGAGGGCCGGGGGCGGAGGGAAATGTCTCTCACCTTTTCTGTCTAGATGATAGGATTTCTTTCCTACCAACCCCAATTTTGGGGGGGGGGGGCGCAATAATTTTAGCGACTCCACCTAGTGCTTTGCAGATCACGCTATGTTAAACCCGGACACCCCTGTAAATGCAAACTCAGACGGAAGCTGTCCTTTTGGAATTTGTTTTCCATGGTCCTCGGTGTTTCTGGGTTTTACCCTGTGCTGTGATACATTTTCTTTTAAGCACCTCATAAAAGCAGAGTGAATAATATTTCTACAGGAAGCCTACAGACCGAGGAATATTTCTCGATCAAGAGTTTGCATTTCCAGTGAAACAGTAAGAATGCGAGGTGCCTGCCACACACTCCAGGAGGAAGGCATTTAAAAAAAATGTATCTGAACATACTAAAAAATAATAAAGGCGTAGGGGCGCGGAGGAACTCTCAGACCCTTCGCCTGGGAGCTGAGGACTGGGAAGCTTAATTCTATTTCGTTGCAAAAAAAAAAAAAAAAAATCAAGTTAAAGAAAGACTCACAGCACCCATAAAAAAATCGTGTTTCAGAAGTAGAATACTGAAGGGGAACCTTCTTTACGAAACCTGGGAACCTGGTTTGCATTTGCCCTCTGACTGTGAATTTACCCAGAGACAGTACCACTCACACAAAACGCACACGCATGTTTTCTTCTTTTGTTCCTTTCCTGAAAATGAATGAGATGTCTCCAACGCCCTGTCCTCACCTCCCGAAGCTGAGCGCGGGCGGATTGTCTCACACCCTTTTCCTGGGAATCAAGTGAGCTACCGAGGAAGAGGGGCGGTGGGGCGGTGGGGTGGGTAAGTACAAGAGTTTCATCACTGGTCTTCCCTATCCAACCGAGGGGCAACTAGCAGAAGAATTCTGACCAGTCTTCAGCCCTTCTTATGAGTGTCCTTCCCCCTCAAGGAGAAGCGGGGAATGGGGAGCCGATTGTTGGAGGTGTTGGAGGAATACTCAGTCGTCCACAAATTAACTTCCCGGGGTATCCGGAGGAGAGGGGAGAGCTCTGAAGGGCGAAGACCTCGAGTCGCTCCAGGGCGATATCCCGACCGCATAACCTCTGGAGGTGTCTTAACCGTGAGGGGTCACTTACCCCCTCCTCCCACGGAGCCCTGGTGCCCAGATCGCCTTATCAAAGGACGACGACATAAAGTCAGCCTGGAGAGTCCCTAAGGGGCTTTGCCGGGAGCGGGAGGTGGGGACTGCGCCCCGGGGTTGGCTATCCAGCGGACGGGACCGGGGGCAGCTTCCTCGCCCGCAGGCCGCCCTGTGCGGCGCCACGGACGCGCGTCTCCGGGCGCAGCCCCCGCGGAAAGCGGGCTTGGGTTCCTCCTCGCTGGCAGAGGAACCCCGGCTCTGCCTGGGCCGGTGGCTGGCTGCATTGTTCCCGTCTTTGGGGAGCGCGGGAGTCAGCCTGTCCAAGGGAATTTATCTCTGGGAAAAGGGAGAGGCCCTGCAAAGCTGGAGAAGGTGGTCTGCGATCGTCTGCGCGGGAGGGGAGTGCGGAAAATTAGCAGAGCTATTCCACTCTCTTTCCCCAAACCCTACAAAACTGCCCACGGTGACGCGGGCGATTTACCGAATCCACCGCGCACTGGACATTAAATTCTCAAGACACTGCTGTTTCCCTCACTCTGCCATTCCCCTGTGGAGGCCGCGGCCCGCCTGCTCTCCTCCCCCCGGCGGAGGTAAGGGGCATGCATTCAGTTTCCATAATTTGCCTCTAAAAGCTTTTGGGTTATTCTTGACGGCCCTGAACCTGGAAACTCTCTGTTGAAAATTAATTTTTTTTCCTTAAATGATGACAACATCCAGAAGGAGGCCCCTTCCCTACCAACCCAGCACGCCTGCTCAGAATCCATGACACCTGGGCCCCGATAATTAGGAAATCTAATTATTCGCTTCATCACTCATTAATAAGAAAAATAGTCCCAGGGTCTTTGCTACTTACAAGTTCTTTGGGGAGATATTAGACTACGTTAATCAATTCGATTTCATATCTCAAACTAACTTTATCTGCAAAGGAGCATGGGGCTTTGGGTTTTTTTTCCTCCGAGCCTGTGGGCCCATGAACCAAAATGTGATAATAGAATAAATTTTAAGAGGATATCACTCTTTTTAAAAAAATCTTTTCGAGGGAAGCCTGCAGCGCAGGGGAGTCTGGTTCCGAGCCGCGGGGTCTTAGAGCCGACGGATTCCGGCGCTCCTCGCCCCGATTGGCGCCGGCTCCCCGCAGCTGGCGCGCTATTGGTCTGCAGTCCCCGGAGGGGGCGTGGCCGGAGGGAAGTAAAAACTTGCTTTCAGCAAGAAGACTTTTGAAACTTTTCCCAATCCCTAAAAGGGACTTTGCCTCTTTTTCCGGGCTCGGCAGGGCGGCCACTCTGGACCCCGGCTTGCTGACCCTCAGGGCTGCCTCCTCGCTGGGGAGCTAGGAGAGCCGCCGTCCCCCTCCCGGCGCGGACAGAGCGGCCGGCCTCGCTCCGCTGCGCGCGTGGCGTCTCCGCTGCGCCCCGGCCGCCAGCTCGGGCGGCCACCCCCGGCCCCGAGAGCCAGCAGGCGAGCGAGCCGGGGCCAGCGCTGCGCTCGCCGGGCGCGCCCTCCAGGATGCCGATCCGCCCGGTCCGCTGACGACGAGCGTCGCCTCTCCGCGCGCCGGCGGGCGCTCAGGGCCGGCGCCTCCCCCACCTCGCCCCCAAGGCTTCCCGGCGCCCGGGGCTCCCCCCGCCGGCTCCCGGCCTCTCGCCCGCTCGCTCCCTCGCTCTCTCGCGCTCTCGCTCTCGCAGGGCCTTCCTCGCGGTGCGTGCGCGCAGGCGGCGGCGAGCCGTCTCGGACGCAGCATGCAGGCGCGCTACTCGGTGTCCGACCCCAACGCCCTGGGAGTGGTGCCCTACTTGAGCGAGCAAAATTACTACCGGGCGGCGGGCAGCTACGGCGGCATGGCCAGCCCCATGGGCGTCTACTCCGGCCACCCGGAGCAGTACGGCGCGGGCATGGGCCGCTCCTACGCGCCCTACCACCACCACCAGCCCGCGGCGCCCAAGGACCTCGTAAAGCCGCCCTACAGCTACATCGCGCTCATAACCATGGCGATCCAGAACGCGCCGGAGAAGAAGGTCACGCTGAACGGCATCTACCAGTTCATCATGGACCGCTTCCCCTTCTACCGGGAGAACAAGCAGGGCTGGCAGAACAGCATCCGCCACAACCTCTCGCTCAACGAATGCTTCGTCAAGGTGCCCCGCGACGACAAGAAGCCCGGCAAGGGCAGCTACTGGACGCTGGACCCGGACTCCTACAACATGTTCGAGAACGGCAGCTTCCTGCGGCGGCGGCGGCGCTTCAAGAAAAAGGACGTGCCCAAGGAGAAGGAGGAGCGGGCCCACCTCAAGGAGCCGCCCCCGGCGGCGGCCAAGGGCGCCCCGGCCGGGCCCCCTCTAGCGGACGCCCCCAAGGAGGTCGAGAAGAAGGTGGTCATCAAGAGCGAGGCGGCGTCGCCGGCGCTGCCGGTCATCACCAAGGTGGAGACGCTGAGCCCCGAGAGCGCGCTGCAGGGCAGCCCGCGCAGCGCGGCCTCCACGCCCGCCGGCTCCCCCGACGGCTCGCTGCCCGAGCACCACGCCGGCGCGCCCAACGGGCTGCCCGGCTTCAGCGTGGAGAACATCATGACGCTGCGAACGTCGCCGCCCGGCGGCGAGCTGAGCCCCGCGTCCGGGCGCGCGGGCCTGGTGGTGCCGCCGCTGGCGCTGTCCTACGCCACCGCGCCGCCCGCCGCCTACGGCCAGCCGTGCGCGCAGGGCCTGGAGGCCGGGGGCGCCGGCGGCTACCAGTGCAGCATGCGCGCCATGAGCCTGTACACCGGCGCCGAGCGGCCCGCGCACATGTGCGTCCCGCCCGCGCTGGACGAGGCCCTCTCGGACCACCCGAGCGGCCCCACGTCGCCCCTGAGCGCCCTCAACCTCGCCGCCGGCCAGGAGGGCGCGCTCGCCGCCGCCGGCCACCACCACCAGCATCACGGCCACCACCACCCGCAGGCGCCGCCGCCCCCGCCGGCTCCCCAGCCCCAGCCGGCGCCGCAGCCCGGGGCCGCTGCGGCCCAGGCGGCCTCCTGGTATCTCAACCACAGCGGGGACCTGAACCACCTCCCGGGCCACACGTTCGCGGCCCAGCAGCAGACTTTCCCCAACGTCCGGGAGATGTTCAATTCCCACCGGCTGGGGATGGAGAACTCGACCCTCGGGGAACCGCAGGTGAGCACCAACGCGAGCTGTCAGCTGCCCTACAGATCCACGCCGTCTCTCTACCGCCACGCCACCCCCTATTCCTATGACTGCACCAAGTACTGACCCGCCTGGCCCGCTCCGGCTTCGCCTCCCACACCCGACCTCTCAGGACAGTTCAGGCCGCAGAGAACCAAAACATGCCCACCAGCCTTTTCTCAGACCCGGGAGCCCAGGGAGCGCGCGCCGGCCTCAGCCCTCTGCGAAGCTGCAGGTAACTTTAATTCGCGGCCCGGTTTGCGAGATCCTAAGAAGCCCCGGTAAAGGGACGCAGTCCAGCGAAATGAATATTGATTTTAAGCCCCCTCCCCTACCGGATGGTTGTGCTCACCGCTCCAGCTGGGGTTTCAAAAATTAAGTTACGGACCAAATCCCATTAGCGACCCAGTAATGACTCTCTGTAGAGGCCCCCATAGAGTTATGGGGGCCTCTATAGACTCCGTTTGTGCTGTGTGTAATTTTAAATTTCTCTAACCGTGCTGTACAAATGTGTGGATTTGTAATCAGGCTATTTTGTTGTTGTTCAGAGCCATTAATATAATATTTAAAGTTGAGTTCACTGGATGATTTTTTTTCACCTTGTCCAACCATTTCTAACTGCCAAAATGAAAATTCAAGAAACCTATGTGGGGTTTTTAATCCCTGTACACTTACGAGATATCATTCTATTCCCGGTGGTAGGTCTTTTGCAAAACAAGGAAATAATTTATTTTGTTGTTGTTGTTGGCGGATAAAGAAGTCAAGTATCTGATACTTTTTATTTACAAAGTGTGATGGCTTTGTGTAGTAGATTCCTCCCTGAGCGTTCCTAAAAGAAAAAAAAAACTTTAAAATTTAACTTCACCTGTGTTTGTCTTATGTGGTCTTAATTGTTGTACTTACCTTAAAATAAACCCGTGTTGTTTTTCTGCCCAAAGTCCGGACAGTGTGTTTGTGCTCTCGCATTTAAAAAACAAACAAACAAAAAAACCCAACAAGGTGCGTTTTTGCAAATCCACCTGTTTTCATTATTTTTGTTACGCAGGTGGGCAAACTGATAGATGGATGTGAGGAGAATGACCAAGGAGGGATGGGGGCACTCCCCTATTATCTCATTAGTGACGGAAAAGACTTTCGATTAATGTAGATCCCACCCTGGCCTAGGCAGTCAAGAAACAGCCCCGGCTGGATGTGGCCGCCTCAAGGACTGGGCGCAGTCGCCGTGTTTGCTGTAAATGGTTTTTGCTAAATGCAGCAAAACATGCCAATTGTCAAAACAAACTGTGCCATTGCACCTCCGCATCCAGCCATCCCCAACTGAGGAGACCAGGGAGGGCAAAGATAAGCGTGTTCCATTAGCTAACTGCTGTGAACCAGGGGGAGTCCTGCTTTCCCTCCATTTCCTAAAATGCGGACTTCCTTCCCCACTGGAATGGTTTTCCAGAAAAGGATTTGACGTGGGCAGGAGAAGGTCCAGAGGGGACTGATTCTGGATCACGAAACGACCATTCCCGCCAGTGGCTAGATCAGAGCTGGCTTTCGGACCTCTTCACTTCTTGATTTGATTTTTGTCAATCCTTACCCCGTTGCAGTGAAAAATTGTAAAGCCTTCAAGAATAATTGACGATGCTTTTGGAGCTCTAAATTTATCAACTCTCAGGACTTTGAGGAATAGGGAGATCATTTGCACTTCCAATTTTGGTATCTTGTCTTTTAAAGTTTTTAATAACAATGAGACTGTTGTGAGATATGGCTGGGGCAGGGGAATGGTTTTATTTGTTTCTCTGGCCCAAACGCACAACTCCCCTGCTGGTCTCTCCGTGTGAATTTTGAAGCCAGAGCTCCAAACTGGGAATGGGTTTCCCACCAGAGGAGGTGAGCTGTACTTTGAAAAGGCTGCAGTTCCCTGTGAATTTAACATTTCATGCGATGATGAGTTTTCCAAAAACTGATTTTCCTCCATGCAGTGGCACTGAACATAACCTGGGTTTGTGTTGTTGTTTTCATCATGGCACGTTGTCTCTAAGTCTCGCTGAAATAGAACCGGGGGACGTGTGAGCAAAATAAATTTCCCCATATGTGCAACACAGATTTTTTTCGAGCTGTGGCCCCAGAGGTGGCGGCAGGTAAGACATACAAGCAGCATTTTATTCCTTTCCATAGTGCTCAGGATCCGAGAGCCCCAGTGCTTGCTGCTTGACCTCCAGCAGGCCCCCAGGCCCCCTTGCTTTGGATGAGCGAGCTGGACCAGCCAGCTTGGAAAGAGAGGGAGACAGCGTCCCCTCTCCCGGCCGCAGAAAAGGCCAGCCCTCCTAGTAGAGTACCCAGCTCGGTACTCTGGTCCCATTTTGCTCCTGTTTTCGAGATGATGTTTGCCACTGGCTTTCTCCTTCCCCAGATTTTTCCTAAGCGTCTGCCCTGTACGCTTGCCCTCATCTCAAGATTTGGAATTCAGACGAGGTCTGAGAGTCACACGAGAAATAAAGGAGAGAGAAATGGGAAAGAATTGAGTGAGAACCGGGCTGTCCCCGAAGCCACACTGAGATGTTTTATCTTTGGGGAGGCCTCTGAAAGAAATCCCTGTGCGCCTGCCGATCACCCAAGTGAGTAGCTCCAGAAGGGTCCCTGTGGCCCATAGAGGCCATGGCTGGGGGTCCTTCCATTTCCCTAGGAGCGTGGTCAGCTGGAGGGATTGCGTTTGGGGCTTTATCCAGGCCTCTGGACGCAGCATAGGGGAGAAGTACGTAAGGCCTGGGTATGCTGGGACACCCTGGCCCTGAAAGCTTCCTGCATCTGAGGCCTCAGGGGCCAGAGTAGGTGCCGGTAAACTCGCTCCACCAGAAGGCCTGCCCTGTGCGCTGGGCAGGGCGCTCAGAGCCCACTGCGCTCAGCATCCCCATAGTCATTCCAGCCTCCGGCCTAGAAACTGAGCGGCCTCCGGGCGCCCCTTGCTCCCCCGTGGGGAGGGGGCACCCAGCAGCGTGAAACTGAGCAGTGCGGAACCCAGGAGATCCACTGCTGCCTTGCCGGTCCCCGGGGCTCCTGCCTGTCTGCTGCCTGACGCGGAAAGACCTCGCGGGGGCACAGGCTGTCCTTGCTCTGCTTATCCGCTGGCCTCCCCTCTCTTGGGCTGCTCAGTCCTCCGGAGGCCTAGGGCCTATCAGGAAAAGGGGAAAAGAGGTCGGAAGTGGAAGGGCCGGAATGCTGGTGTTAGGCTGCCAGGACTCCCTGCCGTGCTGCTCTGCCGGGACAGGCGCAATTTGCATGAAGGTTGGGTGACCACGTTCCTTCCTGCCCCAGTAACATGGAGCTAAGTAGGCAGGTCTCAACGATACTGCACATAAAATGCAAGCAACCCCAACACCGGGCAGAGACCACTGCCCATAGAGTTAACCCTGCTGGCCCTGTGGGCCTTGGCCGTGACTCTAGCTAACCAGGGCCCTGTTTGGACAGACGTGGGCTGCTGGGAGATTCTCCACGGCCTCTGAGAATCCCACACATTCCCAGCCCCACAGAGGCTGCTTCTTGTAAGAATCCAAGACATGCCCCAAGCTCACAGCTTTCCTGGGGAGGGACTGTCGTGTGTGGCCCAGCCTCTCTCCCCAGGCCGGACCTGCGTTTGCAGCCAGGTGGCCTTTCCCCCACCCCGCCCCCGCCCCAGGGTCCAGTAGCCTGTCCCCACCCACACCAAATCAGTGGAGACTTATGTCCTTTAACTGCTGGAGCACCAGCTGGGAAATGGAAGCCTGGTTGATGCTGTGTGAACGAACCACTTCCCTCCCTGGTCTAAGTCTTCTCATCTCTAAAATGACCAGGTGTGTGTAAGGGCGTGTGGCACAGCCCAGTCCTGCCCTTTTCGGCACAGCGTGCTTCCATGACGGGCCCTCACTTATCACCACTCCCCTACCTTGCTGGCAAGAAACAAAGATCCACAGTGGAAGGAAGGAGCAAATGTGGGGTCCCAGGAACTTTGGTGCTTGGCTCATAAATGTTTTGGGGTCCATCTCCTCTTACCCCAAGACTGCCTGGGGTTGCTGTTGGGCCTGGGAGAGTCCTGTGAGCTGCATCCAACGCGGAGAGGGCAGCGTTCCCAGATCCCCCAGTGAGAACGAGCCTTGGTGCCCACTTGCCTCGTCCGTCACTCCTCACCCCCACCCTGAATCCAAAACACGCACAGGGTGTTGGCCAAGCTCGGTGTGATTGGAATTCATTGATAACCATAAACCCGAGGTGGGCAGAGACAGCTAACCAAGCGGAGACCCATTATTTAATGGGCAGAACCAAGTTTCTCGAGAATGTGCTGGGGTCTCGGAACCTGGGCCTCGTGCCTCAGGGCATGGGTGCCTGCATCGTCCCCGAGGGGACACTGCTGCCCCTCAGGGTGTGGTGGACACAGAGAGAGACCCGAGGTTCTAGGCCTTCAGTGCAGCCAGGCCAGGGGTGGCTGGGGGGCTGGACTCTAGGTGAGCAGGACCCACAGGGCCGGTGCCGGCAGAAAGGGCCTTTTGGCACCACATACTCGAAATGCTTTCCCAAACCCTGAGAAGCATTCCCTGCCCGCCTCCCTTTTGCATGGCCTCGGCTCGCCAAGGCGTCGGAAATGTTTGCTTTCTGACACAGGCACGAAGGGAAGGGGGTGAGCGGTCTCAGGGAGTCTCCAGCGAGGACGGCCACTTGGCCCGACTGGACGCCACGGCCTGGATTTGCACCAGCCCGCTCCGGGCTATGGCGATGTTCCCGCTTCTCGGCAAACACGGGAGGACGCGGCCCGTGTAGAGTACGGTTCTCGAGTGTGTGGCTCTGGTGGCTCTGCCAGCGGCAGGCTGTGTGCGCGTGTATGTGCGTGTGCAAAGCCGGCGTGAAGGGCCGGGGGTGGGCTGGCAGATGGACTAGCTCCCTGGCCACACGGGTCCCTTTAAGGAGATGGGGTTGGGGAGTATGGGGACGGCTGCCCCAGCCTGGGGGACAGCTTTGCGTGCAGTCCGTGTGCCCACCCAGGCTGGAGGTCACGGAGGCCAGAGAGGCCCGTCTGACCCCTGGCTCAGTGGCCCTGGGCCCTGGGTCTTACCTTTCCCAACGGCCCCCGCGGGGCTCCCTCTTTGCCCACGTGTTGTTTTTACAGGCCGCCCCTTCTGCACTGACTCCTCACGAGCCGGCCCAGGGCCTCCTCTCAGGCCGACCGAGGGTTCGCAGGACCTCGGCCGTGCTCCCTCAAGCTCTCTGGGCCCATTTCTCAACTGAGAAGTGATAGGATCATCAAATAGGCTTATCGCTGAGGATGTGTGAACCCAACACACATCAGGATAGTCCTTGGGTAGTGCCCAGGCCGCAGGGAGGACTCCCCGTGAGCTGTCGGGATTTACCGCGACACCAGGAGAGCCCTGATTCTTTGTTCCCCGGTGAGTGTGTGTCAGGCTGCTGCCCGCTATGCCCGAACCGCCCCTGTTTTAGACCCTTTAAATCACTACTGGGAACAAGACAAGCTCTAAGGAAATCAGTAATTTGGAAAATCCTGCCCTGCTCTCTGGGCTTCGGCAGACCAGCTGAGTGTCACATCCGTGGCTCACTTCGCCCAAGAGAAGCAGCAGGAGACCGTGCTCCAGAAACACTTCTCAGAGCCTCTGCCGGCACCTGAGGACGTCAGACCTCAGAGAATCCACCTTCGCAGGAAACCCTGTGGGTTCCAACACCCCGTTCGGCTCCTTACAGCCTCCACTGTCTGGGGTGTTTGCTCTGCCCGTTCCAAATCTCATCTGTAAAATGGGCGAATCCATCACCCCTGTCTCTCATCGATGCTGTGAGGGCCCTTGGCACGCACACACAGTAATCCTATTATCATGGGATCG